ACATTTCAGGCAAATGCTGTAAATAACACGTACAAATATCTGTGTTTTTCTAATCTTTTTCGAATCACCTACATTATGTAAGTCCAAATACAGTACCTTATCACCACATGTATTACTTTATTCCAGCCTTGGTGTCATATCAAGATAAATACTTGGATGAAAGCAACTCCTATTGCCATGCAGGAATAATTGTCTGGAAAACAAATGAGTGCAGTGCATTAAGATGGCATACAATACTCCTCACACAGAAGTTAGGTTATATGAACTTAAAACTCCATTTGCTGAGCTCCAGCCTACTGAAAAAGACACATCAAGTATGTCAGAGTGGCTGTAAAAAGTGCTGAACTCAATGAAGACCATCAATTATTTCCCAGGCATATTTCCCAGAGTAATTAATTTATGACTTTAATATCCTCTGATATAACCCAAGCATATGTGCCCTCTTTCTCCTTCTGAACAAAGCAATTCAGTACCTCAATGAGCACAATGTTTTCATTCCCCAAGAGAAGCAGTTCCATTTAAAACCAATTGATTCAACACTTCCGTCTTTAAATCTTTAGTTTGTTTTCCATTCTTCTAAGCAAGGAGTGCATGCACTTTCAATGACATCAAATAAAGGGCAGTCATTGGTATGGATGAAGAGGTTCCCCTGAGATTCTGACACCGTCACCATCGCAAAGAACGAGATAGAAAGCACGGGCAGAAAGGGATTCAAACAGTTCCTTTGATATCATGCTATTGTAGAACTTTGGAGACAGAACAGAAAAATGCCCATTTAGTATGCATGGTGAAATTGTTTGGACGGACACACAGACAAACAGAAGGGGACCAGGGAGGGGGGGGGGGGGTGTGTGTGGAGAGGTGCTGTTTAGTTGGTTTGCAATGGATATACAACTGTTTGTGCGGTGGGAGACGCAGTAGATTGTGTTTCTCGATGTGCCGTTCTGGATATTCTGTCAAAGTTCGCCTTGAAGCACCGGCCCTTGTAACGGAGCTGTATTTAAGAGGCTTTCTTTGAGAGAGAGGACCACTCCTCTGCTTCAGGTTTAAAGACTATTACACGAAAAGGCACAGCAGCTGATTGAGTCCATTTAAAGTGCGATTCAACCTAGCACAACATATAGTTTGTCACTAGCACAAACCTACTTTGACCTTCTGCTTTAAGGAAGATTCAGACTTTTGTGTGACTTTTAACTGGAAGACTCTTCAAGTCTTGTTCTTCTCGCTCAAATTAATTTGCTTCACTGTACATGCTGCAAGATTGAAATACAGACTTCTGGTTCTCCAAATTTACATCAGCCTCTGTGATGTTTTCTAGCCTTTTTCCATAATAAAAAAGAGAGAACCAATGATTTATTGAGTAGAAGTGAAGTATGAGCTGGCCCCGAGCAACCGCGACAGAAATGTACAAGGCAGTGTTTGAATCATTCTTCAAGAGCTGGGTTTCAATAGGTTATCCACAGAAGAGGGAAAAGAAAAGCCTTCATTACCCACCGCATGAAGCCTAAATGGAAAAGAGAGTGTGGAATGGCTGCCTGTGTCTGATAGGGGAATATACTCAGCTCTGATGCCTTGGGTGTTCTGGCCTGCTGCACTCAGGGCTAACACTGGACCATACAGATTGCTGCCATTATGGAAAGTGGGTCTGTGGTGGCAAATAGAAGATCTGCTAAGGCAACATACCCTGCTGGATGCCTCAGGCTCATCTGAAGATCTGCATACACAATAAGTGTGATTTGCAAAGCAGGAAAACTGTATTTTAAAGTAGCTTCTGCTTTGTTTACAAGTCAACACCGCAGGTGTTGTTTTTTTTTGTTGCCATATGCTTTGAATTTACTGGGACAAGAGAGGAAGATACAGTGTTAGAATTCAAAATCCACATGCAAAATCTACAGTTTCTCCTTTTTATTGTAAGCACTCTTGCGAGTATTTGTGTTTGCCCTAACACAGGGTGCTCGCCCGGCTCTAATGTATGCATGGCTTTCCGTGTTGGGGCGATGAATCAGTTGGAGGCTCACTAGGGTGAGTCACTGTGGACAAACAAAACACAGCCAAAGCATTGTAAATGAGAGGTGACTTCTCAGGTTTAACTTAAACTCCCATTTGGCCGCTGAAAGGGTTTTTCGCACCAGTGCCACGCTGTGAGCGGGTGGAGATCAGGTCAGATGAGCACAGTCTCTTCCGTTCGGTATTTGCAATAAAAGGTCAGAGACTGGGGGATAATAACGAGGCACCGTTTTTCTTTAAGTGCTCCTTTGCCTTGCCAGATATTCTGCAGAGCTGAATTTGTTCATATTCATTTCATGGAACATTTGATTTGGAACCTCTTTCTTCCAGAGTGTTCTTTTCTTCAATGCTCTCCTGCCGCTGCTCTTTTGTCGTTGTGAAGGTGGTTTTGTAATAGCAGCCTTTAGCATTCTGTTGCAGTGTCCACCACAGCATTTATGTATCCTCTTTATCTGCTCTTGACTTCACTGACAGGTGCTTTTGGCTTGGTCATCTCAGCCCGATTGCAGATCATTTGATAACATTGAGTGAACAGAGGAGATTTGCAATTAAAAAAGGTTTTCTTTTCAGCAAAATGGCACTTCATTTGTGTTATGCTTGCTTTTATGTGCATTTGAATAAAACTTGCGGTGAACTGTTGTTGGACATGACTAATATTAATTGACATGGTCTGCCTAATTGTTCCATTGTGTTACCTGCTAAAATATCGGAGGTAATTCAATACAAACAGCACATAGCAAAACATTTAACACATTTGGTAAAAAAAATCAAACTGGAACTGGAAGGCAGACATGCTGAATTGGCAATAGAGACATACCAGCTTATTCTTCTACAGCGAATTTATGGAATATAAATCACAAAAAGGCTAAACCTTTTAGCTCTAGATTCACACATAATAGGCTTCCCAGGCTAAAGCAAGGATAAAAAAAGGAAATATTATCAATAACGTTTCAGTGCAAAGACTTGTATCCCCAGCTTGATGTATGAGAAAAACCACAACACTTGTGATTGTAATTTGATAAACTTAACTCAGAAAAAGGTCAGATGACAGCGGGGAATGGCCTTTGGGTCCATGATGGCAGGTGGGGTTTTCCATCTTGAAGAATATTTACTCTGCCATAAACTGTCACATTTATTCTATTCTAACATTATCCCTGTTGTGAAAGGCATGTACGCTAACACACTAAAGCACCTTCTTGCCCTTTGTGTCCCCCCACAAGGCTACTCATGTTGACCTGGGTCTGAGGCAGAACTGGCTTTCAAAAACAGAAGATTAGACTACTACACATATCAATATCTCTGGGTTAATGTGCTCATTTTCAAACACATTTTCAAATGTCTTTCATCAGTTCATTATGAGTGGTACACACTCATCCTAAATAGTTCTGGGTTTGTCCAGAAGTATCTGTGTAACTACCTGAACAATATGTTTTCTTTTTATCTGCTTCATAAATGTCAACCTGCGTCGGTGTATAAATTCCCCTTGCAATTTGTCAAATGGAATATTTTAATAATCCATTTGACAAATTGCTCCAAAACTCACACTATTACTGTTGATTGCAGCCTTTTAAGTGTCACTGCATACCTGAGCAGCAAGCAGCATGACATGTTTTTTTAATTTACATGTCAGTCACTGTGTGTTGACCGTTGGAAAATGAAATGCTGCAATTAAAGCTGTAATAATGACTGATAAGTGACGTGATATAATATGTTTGGGCACTGAATACATCTACATTTAAATAAGTATAACCTCTACACTTTGTTAAAGGTGAACACATGTAATAAACATACCCTGATACACCCAGGGGTTTTAGTACAACAGCCAGTTTGGTATGACAAGATGCGTATTGTGGCTAATGTTTGCAAATGATAGGAAACTTTTGATAGATATTCCTGTGCAGCTGATATTAATGATTAATGCTTGTGGTATTGTTCAAATACGGTAGGATTTACTACCATTCTGTCAAATGTATATCACTGAGTGGATTTCCTGGTATTATCTTATCGTATGAAACTGCACATAACCAGATGAAGTATTCACAAAAGAAAAGAAAAGTGTTCTAAGGATTTCTTATACTGTGTTTTGTTTTTCAGAAACAAATTAAAAAAGAATCGTCAAAAAAAGAAAATATCATTGTGGGATTTCTTTTTTCATCTGGCCTCTGCAGATAAGAAGAGCAAGAGCATTTTTACAACCGTGGCTTTTCTCCATTTGCAAAAAAACTTAATTTAATTTAAGAAGATCCAGTAATCACACCTTGTGCTCAATTTCTCTCTTTTCTCTTGGAGAATCAGTGCTCAAAAGGATTTTAATTTATGCATGATGGTTTTCGGAGAAAAAACCTAAATGCATTGATCCGGGTTTCCTTTCATGCGGTCTTGTATAATTGATTTAATTCAGCTTCTAAACATTGGCCTTCCTCAGTTGCGTCTGACAGTCCTCAGGTTAATGGTGTGAAACCAGGGACCCTGCTTCCCCCGACCTGTCAAGTGGTAATTGGCCAACAGTTTCCTTAAATTGCATTCTGCCACAGGGACTGCAAACACCTCTTAAATTATGTACAAAATAATTGGTAGGACATGAACAACAAGGGCATCCAGTAAACATGAGTCCTATGCTTTGACTGCAACATTTCATTTATAACATATGCTGTAGAAGTGCATTTATTATCTTGATAACATGTAATTAATATCAACTATGTGTTCTTGTCTTTTGCAGGTTATTCCTCCATGCACATGAAAGAGACACAGAAGGGAAGACAGTGGCAGAAACGATAAGATGAGACCATTTAATGATGGTAACCTCTAAGGAGAAAAGCACAAGCCAACCCGAGGCAGTAGAATCTCTTTTAAGCATCACCACAAGTTTCCTGCAGGCAAACCTCAATGAAAGGAATTCAGTGTAAGGAAGGTTTCTCCTGTTTTTCTGATTGGCACATGGGGGCAATACCATCCATCAATGAGGAGAAGACATCTCAAAGGAATGTTTCTGGCCCGGCGAACAGCTAAACATACAGCTGATATTCCAACAGGACCTTCTCAGCTGCACTGAAACCACCACAGTATCACCCTCATTTAATTGTTTGGTCCCTGCACATGACTCTCAGAGAAGCACCAATGGCCTGCGGCTCAGGCGTGGTGATGAGTGCCTTTTTTTGGTCTGTAGCCATTGTATATATGACTCATATTGGCAGAGTCAGTGGAGACTGCTGGCTGATTGAGGGTGAAAAGGGCTTTGTTTGGCTTGCCATTTGTAGCCAAAACCAACCACCTTATGAGGCCATCCCACAGCATATCAACAGCACCATTGTTGACCTTCGTCTGAATGAAAACAAAATCAAAAGTATCCAATACTCTGCCCTTAGTCGCTTTGCCAACTTGACCTACCTGAACATGACGAAGAATGACATCTCCTACATAGAGGATGGGGCCTTTTCTGCTCAGTTTAACTTACAAGTCCTTCAAATGGGCTTCAACAAGTTGCGGAACCTGACAGAGGGGATCCTCAGGGGTTTAGGAAAGCTGCAGTACCTCTACCTCCAGGCAAACCTGATAGAGACTGTGACATCCAATGCCTTTTTGGAATGCCTCAACATTGAGAACATTGACCTCTCTATGAACAGAATCCAGCAGTTAGAGGGGTCTACGTTCACCACTTTGAATAAACTGACCACCTGCGAGCTGTACACCAACCCATTCAACTGCTCCTGTGAATTATTTGGTTTTGTCAAATGGCTCTCAGTTTTCCCTAACAGGACAAATGAGCGGATGGTCTGCGACTCCCCACCTGGCGTCTCTGGTTATAGTTTATTGAGCCAGAATCCAAACAAACCAGCATATCGAAATGCGCTTCACATGCTCACCACTGTGTGTACTGACGACTATTCGACACCTTTTTTTGCCGTGCCCACTGAATCCACGACACCCCCACCGGACTCGACACTCTGTGGGCTGGAAGATTGCCCCTCAGGCACAGAACCAGAAGACATTACCATCAGTACAACCTACACTGACGTGGAAGTCAACCCTGTGATGAAACTGAATCATGTATCGAATACAGGTGCCACCATCACGGTTCAGATTCCTCACCCCTACAAGAAGATGTACATTCTGGTTCTGTACAACAACAGCTTTTTCACAGATATTCAAACCCTGAAAGATATAAAGGAGGACATTGACCTTAAAAACCTAAAACCCCACACTAACTACACGTACTGTGTCGCTTCAATACGCAATTCTCTCAGACACAACCACACCTGTCTGACAATCACTACAGGCCCTTGGAATGGAAAGGACAGAGCTGTGAACAATGCGACTGCTACTCATTACATCATGACGATTTTGGGCTGCCTCTTTAGCATGGTCATTTTTCTGGGTGTGGTCTACTTTTGCTTGCGAAAAAAGCGTCAGCAAGATGAAAAGCACAAAAAAGCGTGCAGCCTGAAGAAAAATATAATAGAGCTCAAATATGGGCAAGAGCTGGAGGGGGCGACTATATCTCGAATGTCGCAGAAGCAGTTGTTGGCCGGGGAGAACATGGCACGTATGCCATACTTACCATCTGCTGCTGAAATGGAGCAGTATAAGTTTCAAGAGATGAGTGATACTCATAAAATGATGAAAGGAAATTACATGGAGGTGCGGAGCATGGACCACCACGAACGCAGGGAATGTGACATGGGAATGCCAGGGAATAGCCAGGGGTCGGTGGCAGAGATTTCCACCATTGCAAAAGAGGTGGATAAAGTCAATCAGATTATTAACAACTGTATAGATGCTCTCAAGTCAGAATCCACCTCTTTTCAAGGGAAGTCTGGAGCAGTGTCCAACGCAGAGCCCCAGCTTGTGATGTTATCAGAACACCCACAGAATAAAGCTGGCCTCCTGTCCCCAGCGTACACAGACAGCTATCACCACTCCCTGCAGAGGCATCGGACTTCCGATGTCTCGCCAAAGAGGCCCAGCACCGCCACAGGAGGGCCCTCGCGCAGCCCAAGGCCTTATCGCTCTGAATCCAAGTACATCGAGAAATGCTCCCCAACAGGAGAGACCCTGCTCACCGTAAACCCCGCCGCCGCCATCCTGAGGGCCGAGGCAGAGAAGATGCGTCAGTACAATGACCACCGCCACTCTTACCCCGACGCTCAGATCGAGGAGCTCGATGGTCCCGACGGCCACAAGACCTCCATGTTGGAGCCCCTCACTCACTCCCGCAGCAGAGACTTATCATATTCCCAGCTGTCATCTCAGTATCACAATCTAAGCTACTCCTCCAGCCCCGAGTACTACTGCAAACCTTCACACAGCATCTGGGACAAATTCAAATTCAACCGGAAACGGAACAAAGATGAGGAATACATGGCGGCGGGCCATGCACTGCGTAAGAAAGTCCAGTTTGCAAAGGATGAGGACCTGCATGATATTTTAGACTACTGGAAAGGTGTTTCATCCCAACAGAAATCATAACCTCTTTTGGTGTTTTTAAATATGGACCACACATTGCAGAAATGACACAAGAACCTCGTCTGACAATTGAATCAATGGATACTTCCATATTATAATGAACTACTCACTCAAGTGTACCACAATCTATTTGGACTGTGTTGAAGATGGGATAAAGAGTCTTTCAATTTGTCATATTATGTAAAGCATTCAGCGGAAACACTTTTATCTATTAAAGAGAAAATATATTGCAAATTAATAATATATATGTTACAATGGATTATAGGTTTTTGGGTATCGCATGGCCAAGTCCTGTGACAGTGGATTTCCTGTTGTGTAATATGAAACTAAGATATGAAGATATGTCTACTGAAATCTCAATATTTTTGAGGAACTATCTGGACTCTTTATAGAAAGAGAACTTTTGTTTCTTCCCTCCCTGCATATATTTAATTCTACAAATCTATGTACAGATATATATATTTGAAATGTTTGCTGTGTAAATGGATAAGTATTAGTGGATGAATCAGGTTTATGAAATGGTGCGCTGTTCATTCAGATGAACTTGTTGCTGAAGAACAGCCACTTCAAACCTGTCAGAACATTTGTCATTTTAACCATCACCGCCTGTTTTTTAAACTCTTTTCCTTTTTAAAAAGCTTTTACATGCATTTAAAAAAGATACAGATAATTCAGTTTGATTGTCCCCTTTCTCACATACTGTAACGCAGTGTTCATTGCATGGAACCTCCTGGACTTCATGCTAGCAAGATGCAGTATATTCCATGCTGTAATGAAAGTCATCACTTTTCATGAACCATCATTTGTATCTTTAGTACCAAAGTAGAAAAAGCTGAAATGTTTACAATATTTCTGCACGGTCTGGGAATTTTAACATACAACAGTAGTTCCATTAATTTTTTTTTACAAGTTGTATCAGTTACAAAGTGAAAACATTGGGAAACAATCATATCCACTTACAGGATATGGTATTGAAAGCCTACTCTTAATCTCTAACATGTTAAAGGGAATGCAGCTGTACTTTATCCCCTGTTGTTTAGATAGAGACAACTGTTCTTCCCTGCAGGACAGCCCGATGTATGAATGTAACAGATACATATTCTGATCTCTTTATGGCAGCTTTTTAAGTATGGAAGTATTTATTTCAAGCTATTAACAACTGTGTTTTTTCCTTTGCTTCAATATTACTTCCAGTGTATTATATTGCATAATGTCTGATCCGATAAAATGCAGGAAAGTAGATTGATGTTCGGATGGGCCTTGTTGCTTGCCGAGGGGTTTCATTTTTATTTCCAACTGCTAGGCTGTTCAATCTTTTTGTATATTATCAAAGTTACATACCAGACGAATATCAACGTGCTAGAGTAAACATTTGAGAATGTGAAACTGAATCCTCTGACTTACTGGCTGTGAATTTGTATATCATGACAACTTTTGAGTAAATATTAACGCTTTTTTCTTTATAAGATGCTTATTTCACTTATTCCAACAGGCTCATGATGATTCATTGCATATTCACGGATGAGCATTTGTATTTCAAGTACAGTCAATGCTAGGTTTTCAAATAAAGAAGGAAGTGCTCTTCAAGGTTAATTAGGTCATTTTCACATCATTCATAGGAACCTCAAAATACATATGAAATACACATAAATATCCATAACTGAGAAGCAGTAAAGGCATACTCTTTGAACTGTGTGTTGAGGTGAGTTTGCAAACTGATAGCAGAGCTTTTAGTTGGTATTTTTCCATTAACTCATAGACATTGAGTATGTAAATAATTGTAGGCATTATTTAGCCCAATTGTATTTTCTCTGTGTTATTATGCCGCTTCCATTCCACGCAAGTGTGTCATGACGCTGATATTATTCATCGATGTGAAGTAAAGTATTCATGAGCCTGATGTGGATGTGTTATGTAAGCACCTTATGAAGTGTTAACTTGGTTGTCTTGACTTAATATTTCAACCGCCTTAATATTTTTGGGATATGTGTACAAGTGTATATTTCCTTTTGTTTCTTTCAATGTTGATACTGTTGACACGTCTCCATTTGTTGTTATTTTTATAAAAGCATTTCAGTATCTTCTGAGAGCTGTCAGGTTTCTAGTTCATTTAGCTATTTAGCAACATGTCTTTTATACTGCATATTGTAGCACTTCTGTGTCTAATAAGAGTGTTGATAAAAACCTTTAGAAAGATCAACAGGTGTTGTTCAAGTGCATCAAAACAAACAAGAGCACAAAAATGTGTTTTTTTTATTTTATTTCTTAATACTATGTTATCTGCTTTCAGACAAAGTACTGTGAAATAAAGTTAAGGGTGCACATACAGTATACATCAGCATCTTTATTATGACTTCTGGCCAGAATCACTTTCCCTTACGGCCATTGACTAATGGATTAGGCTTCGTCACTTCAGGCTCTGTTGCGACCATGGGAGGCAATGTGTTGCCATTATGCCTTGGAAATGTAATTTGGCTTTGAGACATGAACGGCTCGCTCTCTGATTGTATTTCTTCACTCTGCTATTTAGGGGCTGGATCCATTTGTTTAAAAAATGCACGATATATCGACCAAAAGTACTTTTTCATTTACCCGAGAATGAACCCCTTAGATCTAAATCTAATTCTTAAAAATACAGATTTAAGAACTTAGTAAACTACCTTGGATAGCAAAGCACATATTGCCTTCTGCCATTACGGTCACCAGGGCAGAGGTAAACAATTATTAGTCTGCTGTGGAAGAACCATGTAATGGATACAATGTTTGTAAATGACCTCAAACCTCATCCGGCATTTCTGTACTGCATGCCTTGTGTTCTGTAAATAGGCATTTTTACAGAATTTGTCTTAACATACAAAGAGGTAAGGAAAGAGATCTTCATGATCACTAAAATACAGTTTTTGAAAGAAAGACTGCATTTAGTAAAATGTTCATATTGGTGTTCTCTACAAATGTTTTGTTTTTTTGTTGTTCTAACGGAGCATGTATGAAACTTAATACATAAACACAATGTTGACCAATGGTCATTACCAAGCTGTTCCGCTGCGGCAGCGCCAGACAAAACAGACAGAAATACAGGCTAATGACAACAGCTGTGCTCTGTGATCAGCTATATTCTCACCTAAAATGAGTGATGGCAGAGGAAGGTAGAGACGACATAAAGGCAGCCACAAAGCATCTGTTACCGTATCCATGGACCTTGGCATCTGAACAGAGGGGGGCATACATTTTATTCACAATGAGTGTGGCGAGCGTGTGCATTTACTCAGACATAGGCCTACATTACTGATGTATTGAGTTCAGAACACTTTTTTTTTTAAATAGATTTGTGTTCATGTCCATCCCACGTAACATTTTAATAGGATTAAGCTAATAATGACATTTAGTCCAAAAGAAAAACTAGATTAAGAACTGATTCTTGACCAACGTTGTTTAGATACAGTTGAGGCCTAAATTATTAGCCCCCCAGGAGTTATGGAACATTTTCCTAAAATTCTTCCTAATGTTTCCAGCATTGATAAAACTTGATATAATCAAACATTCACCAGTGCTATTTAGTAGCTTTTGGTACATTTTGGAAAATAAAATAAGATTTTAGGCTTGCTTTATATCAAATATAGTGAAAAATGGGTTGGTCAAAAATATTAGCCCCCATGTGAACTTTTGCTTTCAAACCACACCTAATCAACCAATCAGCTTTCAAACCACACCTAATCAACCAATCAGCTTTCAAACCACACCTGAGCATTCAATCAGCATAAAAGGACTCCAAGAAACAGGCACTCTGATACCTTATTGAGAGGGACTATACTACTACTCCTACTCACCATGCCAAAGACAAAGGAAATCAGTCTTGAGCTCAGAAAGAAGATAGTGGAGGCTCATGATAAGGGGGAAGGCTATACTGCTATTTCCAAGCGCTTCACAGTGTCTAGAACTACTGTACGTTGCATCATTGCGAAGTACAAGGAGACACATTCTGTAAGAAACAAACCTAGGCGTGGTCGAAAGCGCAAGATTTCAAGAACTCTGGAGAGGAAAATAGTCAGAGATGTCAGCAAGAATCCCCGGACATCTGCCAAGATGATTGTTGCTGACCTGGCCTCTTCTGGAGTTGATGTTTCAAGGAACACAGTTGTGAGGGCGCTTCATCGTGGTGGGCTTCAGGGCCATCGTCCCAGAAGAACCCCTTTACTCAAAGAGCGGCAGATCAGAGCCAGACTGAGGTTTGCCCGTGAACATTTGAAAGGTAAAGATGAGTTTTGTAAGTCTGTGAATTGGTCTGATGAGACTAAACTGGAACTGTTTGGGCACATGGATGGTGCTTATGTTTGGCGAAGAAAGGGAGAGGCCTTCAACCCTAAGAACACATCATGCTGTGGGGCTGTTTTGCAGCCTCAGGCACAGGGAGCCTTGTTTGGGTGCAAGGCATCATGAAAAATTTTAATTATGTTGACATTTTGAGGGATAATATGAAAAAATCTGCTCTTAGTCTTCGCTTAGGTCGTCGCTGGGTCTTCCAACAAGACAATGACCCAAAGCACACATCAAACTTGGTCCAACAGTTCCTAAAGGACACCAAAACCAAGGTGCTGGAGTGGCCCGCACATAGCCCAGATCTTAATCCTATTGAGAATCTGTGGCGGGTGCTCAAAGTGAATGTCCATGCTCGGAAACCACGCAATTTGGACCAGCTGGAACAATTTGCAATGGAAGAATGGGCCAAAATCCCTCAAGAGACCTATTTTTTGACCAACCCATTTTTCACTATATTTGATATAAGCAAGCCTAAAAACTTATTTTATTTTCCAAAATATACCAAAAGCTACTAAATAGCACTGGTGAATGTTTGACTATATCAAGTTTTATCAATGCTGGAAACATTGGGAAGAATTTTAGGAAAATGTTCCATAACTCCTGCGGGGCTAATAATTTAGGCCTCAACTGTATTTTTCGTTTTTTGGTGACTTTTCCAGTGTTAAACCTTTGACAGTATTTTTCAGGTATTGAAAACATAAAGAGAAAATGTAATTGAGGGAATTATCCCTAAAAGTCAAAGTGGATATTTTCGCAATTTTATACCAATCATATAGTGCGAAAGAGAGCAAAAAAGCTCTATCCATTCAAAGGAGTTTCAATGGAAC